CTTACAGTGTACATACATTACCTTGTGGTGGTTTAGCTTCTGTTTGACCATTTGATGTAAAGTCTTCTGGGACAATAAGGTTAAACTTCCTTAGGAGTTGTGTGTCCAGGCAATACCTTAAATTTGACTGGCCTGGAAAAAACAATGAAAAATTCTGCCGACCATAAAACAAACTACTAGCAAGCATAAAACATGACTACTGCTGCTATTTCCAGTTGAGCATGCCACTCGCCGAATTTCAATGGTTTGAGAAATGTTTAAAGTCATCAAATTCCATGCCATCTGCTATTTTATGCACACAAGTCGCTTGACTTTAATATACTGTATGAGTATGTACRGTTAAATGGTCTTTCTTACCTGGGGGAAGTCCTAAATTTGGATACTGTTCACATTGGCCAAGTGCTTTTTGTAAATCTCTCTCATCAGCGGCCATGGCTGAGGCTTGTGCCTGCATGATGTGTGCCTCCAACATATCTGCTTCTCTGTGACATTTCTCACGCTTCTCTTGTATCTTGAATATAATATCCCACAAAAAATCAATACTTTGTTGTTAAAAAAATTGGTTAAGCTAAAGCTGATGTATGACCGTTACTTCATGCCATATTTATTTATTTTGCATTGGCATAATTACTAAGAGCATTTACAGCTCTAATGTTTAATTCTCAAAAATAAAACACAGCTGATACAGTAGACTAACATGTACAGTCTAGTAAAATAGGAAATAATGCGCGTTATTCATTTAAAATAATTCTTCAAGCTATCCTTCATACCTCTTCTAGCTGCCGAACGTATTTATCGTGGTATCCTTCCTCTCCACTACGAGACGTAGTAAGGTGTTTTACAGTCTGTTCTCCTACGACATCTCGTGTAAATACCTCTCTAAAAACACTCGCTAAAACATGCGAAATATCCTGTGAACGGGCAGAAGAAGGCCTCTGCAAATGCATAGGAGGTTCCATCTCTATTCCTTTTGATCCTGACATCGCTTTATAAGAGTTTAATAAAGGAAAAATAACTATTTTTGTAATTTCTTTGAAGAGTTGTTTTTTATCCTGCCGTCCGCCATTTTGATGAAAGCTATTGTTGCCATGACAATATTTGTTTTACCACATACGATTGCAGGCTCAAAAGAAAAAAGAGATAAAATCCACAGGAAGACCAAAGCTTTCAATAATTGTCTGGGGACTTCTAAGGACTTGGCTGGGCGTTTTAGACAAAAGACTGGAGAAAAACAAGATCGTATTTGAAAATATTATTAAAACCAAAAAATTCTATTCAATTTTTGGAGCTTTAATGCGATGCTAACCCTCGGGATGGGATAAGAACGGCACGACTCCTAGAAGATTCTTTTCAACCAAAAGAAAATATCTAGTAAAAAATTGGTTTATATAGCCCACAACCCTCCTTAATACTATTATATTATAGCGCCTCGTAAATACTCTCCTTTTTAAAGTCAGCTTTAAATGATCTCTTTTCAAGAAATATGCATTAAATTAACACACTCGTCGCCAACCCTTTAGATTACACAGGTACGTCTCATATGTCACGTACGAGACATAAAGTGCATGTTATTTTGCTAAAGACAGTAAGTTCTATATAAAGGACCTCTTCCCTAAAGTCAAATTTTATACGTTCTTCAAGAACCTGTTTCTCGCATTTACAGAGATTGGTAGACTTTCATGGGTAAGACCTCTTCCCCAAAGTCAAGCTTTATGTTCTTCAAGAAGCTGTTTCTCGCATTTACAGGGATTGGTAGACTTTGGTAAGACCTCTTCCCCGAAGTCAAATTTTGTACGTTCTTCAAGAACCTGTTTCTCGCATTTACAGGGATTGGTAGACTTTGGTGAGACCTCTTCCCCAAAGTCAAGCTTTATGTTCTTCAAGAAACTGTTTCTCGCATTTACAGGGATTGGTAGACTTTGGTAAGACCTCTTCCCCAAANNNNTCTTCCCCAAAGTCAAGCTTTATGTTCTTCAAGAAACTGTTTCTCGCATTTACAGGGATTGGTAGACTTTGGTAAGACCTCTTCCCCAAAGTCAAATTTTATACGTTCTTCAAGAACCTGTTTCTCGCATTTACAGGGATTGGTAGACTTTGGTAAGACCTCTTCCCAAAAGTCAAGCTTTATGTTCTTAAAGAAGCTGTTTCTCGCATTTA